ATAGACAAGAAAAGTAAGAAAATTAAAAATACGACACAATCAGTTTTATACTGGTTAGGGAACTCCCTACTCCAGTGCCTCGAGGTTCCTCCTCAAGGATCTAACCTCCACTAACTTGTTTGGCTTCACTAAGAAGATTCAAATGAGGTTTGACAAACAATCCTTGCCAATAAGCAAATGAGGTGTTACAACGGCTATCTCAACCGCTTACAAACCGAAGATTCAAAAGCTATCTTCAACCTTATAACACACTGAGGATTTAAAGACTATCCACACCTTTTATAAAATCAATAGAAATGATCCTGCTTCGTATGTTTTTATTGGTTTACTTCATCGAGTTCATTCCTACCAAATCATTTGAAGAACATGCTACAAAAATTGTAGTTTTAAAAACAACTTTGTTTTTAAAAATTTTTCCTTTTCACAAAAACATGTACTCCGAGCATTCTGAAAAAATTTGCTCCCATTGATTTCAAGGGGATTAATAAAAGAGTTTAACTTTTTATTGATCACACAGTGCTCTAAGGCTAATTTATATTGATTACAAAACTCTTAAATAATAATTAATTTAAGGTAGATTCATATTGATAACAATGATCTTAAACTATTCTTAGTTTAAGGCTAATTTATATTGATAGTTGGGCTTTTAAACTATAATTAGTTTAAGGCAAAACATAAGAACCAATGACCTATCATATGAGTCACGATCTAGATCAGTGAGTTGTTGGAGTTGCGCAAGTTACATAAAAAAGTAAGAGAAATGAAACTAAACTGGTGGAGAGAAATTATGTGTTGATTCAAAAAAAGGATGAGCCACATCCCCTAGGGCTCTTTTAGACTCGGTCGGACGGTCACTAAGAGCCTATGTTGCACGGAAACGCCAGGTAGCATGCCGTACCCGTCTCGGAGACCTTGGACACGCGGAAACACGTCGGAGACGTATCGGAAACTCCAGGTGGCGTTTCTTTAAATTAAAATTTAAATAAATGCTGGGAGACGTCGGGGAAATGCCGGGGAGACGCGTCTCCCTTTTCCGAAACGGCTTGGACAACACGGGAGACGATATAATCGGAAAGAGGAAAAAGTAGGAAAAAAGAAAAAGTTCAAAAAAGAGAGAGAGACAAGAAAAGAGTCCAGAATCGATCATTATCTCTCCTTTAGAGGCGGCTTGCTAGGGTTTTTTGTTTTCCCTGTTTTGCTTATTATATATCCACTTCCCTCATTTAATTTTTGGGCTTCTATCCCTATGTGGGCCTTAGATTTAATTCTTGAGTTTTTTCTCAATGTTAGATATACATGATCCAAATAAAATACTACACACATGGAAAAACTTATGTGGGATAGAAAGAGTAATATATATATATATATATATATATATATATATATATATATATATATATATATGCCGTCTCCCCGGCGTTTCGTCTCCCCATTTTTCAAAATAGCCGTCTCCGCGTCTCCGTTTCGTCTCGTCTCCGTTCCCGTCTCCGTTTCTATGCTACATAGCTGAGAGCAAGTAAATTAGACTTTAATCGCAGATTGGTGGCAAAGAATGGAGCCTGCACCTGGTACTTGCAAAGGCCCTATGCTTGACATACTTGCCTTCCAGTGCAATTGCCAGGAATTGAACTCGAGTCTTATCCTCTTGGCAGCTCTTGCCTTGCCAGCTGCGCAACGCCCACCGGCATGTGTTGATTCAAGAAATGCATAGAGGTGGTGTTTACCCTCTCTGATCTACTAGCTACCCTCGATTGATTCTGTCAACAATGATAATGTAATACTACATTTGTTAAAGGGTGGGGAAAAATTAAGAAAAAATACACCTAATTCAAATGTCCATCTTAACAAAATCGATTTTTATTTCTAGAGAGAAAATTAAGACAACAAAAGATTCTTATTGAGTTCCAAGGGGATGAAAATTGGGAAAAAGAACAATGAACATTGGGAGAGTCGAAAGTATTTTGAGAAGTAAGTTTGTGCCAATAATAGAAAGAATTAAGGTAGTGTTTTGGAATTAACATTCCTAATTTTCTTTAAATTCTTTCTACTCCCCAGCAATTAGTCTAAGAACAATGTATTTTTAATGTTATTATTATTAATACTATTATTTTTATTTTTATCAATATAATAATAGTAATTAGTATCATCTTCATTATTATTATTAGAACTATTATGTTCATTACTATAGTTTATAAACTATTTCATTTTATATTTTTTTTTATGTCACTATTTTTACGATTCACACTTTTTTAAATTAATATGAGGAAAACATCTTTCAAATTTTTATAAAAAATTTTGAAATTTGAAATATTTTAGAGAAAAATATTAAACTATGAGTAAAACATAAAAATTTACGAAATATGAGTTCGATATTTTTATTTCCAAAATAAGAGTTACAATACAAATACAATGACAATCATGAAAGAAGAACTAGATTTGATTACATTATGTAACAAATATGATATTTAAAATAAAATCTTGTAATATATAAAAAGTAATTACAAATATATTTTTTTATAATAAATACTGCATAAATAAATTGAGGTCCAACGTAACAACAATAAGTTCTTAAAATTTGACATTTTAAAATTTATGCTAACTTTATATCCTAACTAATTTTTTTTGTGAAAGTAGATTTTTGCATATGAAAAATGACAATAATAATGAGAATAATAGAAAAAATAATTTTTATAAATATAATAATAATAATAATAATAATAATAATAATAATAATAATAATAATAATAACAAATTATAACAACAATTAGAATGAGAATAATATAAAACACAAACTTAAATAAATTTTTTATAGTTTTTTTTACATTTTCCAGTTTCTCCGGTTCCATATAATTTCTTTCAGTTTCTTTTAGGTTTTCCCAATTTTTTCCAATTTCTTTTATTAGTTTCAAGTTTTTCTTGTTCTTCCAGTTTTTTCCAATTTCTTTTGGTAAAACTTGCAGGTTTTGTTTCCCAAGGAGTTTATATTGTTGAAAAAATAATCAAAACGAAATTGCCATATTGGATATAGAATCAGAGCATACCTATGTGCCTTTCAATTGTGTTGCATTTGGTAACATGTGGTAATCTCCTCAAAACAATTCAAATATAAACAATATTCCCAATCACAACATATGTGGTAATATGCCACAATCAGAGACAATATCTATGAACCTTTAATTTGATGGAGCGAGGATTAACTATTATTTCTAAAAAATATTTCCTCCTTCCCAAAAAGTTTTAGTATTTACTCTTCCTAACTTCTGATAACTTTTGTTTGTGTGTGTTTTTTCATCGGTCATTTGATAAAATAAAATATTTTTCTCATCACTTGTTTTGTAGAACTTTTGACGTAGTTTTAAAATATGTAAGTTGTACTTTTTATTTTTCTACCAGTTTGTAAGCAAAATCATTTTTAAAAAGATGAGATTCTGTGCAAAGCCCAAAAAGTTTTTTGGGACGGAGGACTGAGTAGTACTCCGTATTATTTTTATTTTTATTTTATATTTTTGAAAATGTAGTAGCCCGAGTAATCTTTATCGGCCAACAATGAGAATGTGATACCAAATTTGTTAAAAGGTGCGGAAAAATTAAGAAAAAATACAAGAAAACACACAATAATATATATAGAGTGAGATGGCAATTAAATTACTGAGGACCATTGGGTATGTTGTCTCACAAATGAGTTGCACAGTCTGAGAAAGAAAAGTGAAGAAAACAAAACTCTTTAACCTTTAGTCTATGAGAAATCAATGATCCCTAAAAAGTAAAATATACCATAGCAGAAGCACACTAAGGGCTAGGGGTTATTGAACTTAGAGTTTAAAAGATTTTTTTGGATTATAAAATTCTATGAATTTCAATTTAGATTTTAAAAAGTTATTTCAAATCTGAGTGTATTCAATTCAGATTTTAAAAAATCATTTAAAATCTGAATGTATTCAATTTGGATTTTAAAACTTGTATCTAAATCTAATTATATTCAATAGTTCATGCATTTTTAAAGATTTGTATTCCACATGGATTTTAATGGATTTGAAGGTAGAAATTATAATAAAAAATCTTCAAACAAATCCCTACTCCCAACCACAGATTTAAGAATCCAAGTCCTCATCATCTCCTCTCTTTCATGGGCATCACATCTCAAAGTCGTACAGATCCCAGGTAATAGTGTAATACCCAATCACTATTGTCTTCCTTCTCTTCGATGCCTCTCCATCGATCCAAAAGCTCTCTCTTCGTTGCCTCTTTCTTCGACATTTTCAGTTGAACCCTGGGTTCCCATCCCCTCTGCAACTCAACCTAGGGTTCTTCTTCTTCTTTTATTTTAAGGTGAGACCTCCACAGGAAACATACCAATTGAACCCTGGGGTCTCGCCCCTTCTGCGTCCAGAGCTATGAACTTTCATATTGCGATGAAGAGATGAATCAGAACATTGTATTGGATTAACAAATCCTTCTAAAATCCGTGGATAAACATATTTTTTTAAAATCCTATTCATAAAATCTCTCCAACTTTACGTAGAGTTAAATCAATAAATGAATTTCATATAATCCATAAAATCTAAAGAATCTATCAAAATCTTTTAAAATCTAAAATGAATACACTCCCTAAATAAATACAGCTAATCAAAAGCAGTAAAGGCAAATATTTTATTCTAATGTAAGGTATATTAAATTATTAACTTCATTTATGTGCGAACTCTAATTGATCTCGAGAGACATAATGGCAGAGCCATTGTGTTCCGCAAGACACAATGAATAAGAATGAGTGAAGCAATGAGTAAGTTTGTGTCCCAACTGTTTGTGACTCTAGCATTACTCTTATTTATGACTGCTACATTGATTGTCATCTAAATGAGGCTAACGTAATAGTTGATGCACTACAGGAAAAAGTCGTTGGTTGAATTACACACATTCTTCAACTGACATTGGAATCTAACAATCTAGTGGCTTAACTCATTGATCTATTTTGCCATAAAATTATCAAGCTTGTACCACAACCCATACCAAATATTACACGAAAGGATAACCAAAACCAACCCCCAAATATAGTACACCAAACATAAATTTAGTAGTTGCAAAACAATGACATCAATGCCATCTTTATTTTCTCGGACGTAAATAATCCAAAACTGTCAAAATATACTAAAAATCTGAACAGGACAAGCAATGCTCAGTGCTGGAGTTTAATTTTACTTGCTTTAGGTTTGCAAGGAACATGTAATTATATGTATCATGCTTTTACTTGTTTGTACTTCCTTATCTCGTTGATTACGCCATCAGCAAGGGTGTCGACATCATTGTTCTTCCCAAAAAACTTTACAAACTCCATCTCAGGATCCATAAGATACCTGCTTATAATCACATGCAAAGCAGCACAGACAGGAATTCTAATTTAGAACTATAGCTACACATTTACACTATGTTTGGTTCAAGGAATTCGAAAGGAAAAGAAAAAAGAAAATGATTCTCTCATTTTCCTCTCCAAAATGGGAGGAATTTGATTTTCCTTCCTCTTTGCACATTTTGCCTTCTCATTTTCTTTTATATCAACTTTTCTTTTCTTTTCCTCTCTAACCAAACAAAAAACACTGTTTTCCATCTCAGACTCTTTTTTTTCCCTTTCAAATTCCTTGAAACAAACATAGTGTTAATAGAAATCCTACTTAGGGCACAGGAAGAGGTCTTTTCAACAACTATATTATGTCCGAAAGATACGTACATGACTATTGAGTGATCGACAAGATAATCTGAGCCTTCCTCTTGTGTTTTCATGTAGTAAACTCGATAAGCACGTGCAACTTTTTTTATCTCCTCCAGATTACCAGTAAGACCTATTAAGGTGGGATGGAACTCTGAAAGAGGACATTTTTCACCAGCATCAATACATGTTCAATATCTGCAATAAAAAAAACACAGTGAAATACAAAATCCCATTTTTAAAGCACCTTTGACATATTCGCAAACTTGCTCAACTGTATCCCTCTCAGGATCAACTGAGATAAAAACAGGGACCACTTTAAGTCCTGACTTTTCTTCTGTAAAATTTTGAAAAATAATTATATAATTTCAAAGATAATCATCAGCACATACTAGCACATGGTATACATAATCTCCATGAAGGCATGAATAATAAATACAAAAAAATAATGTTTTCCAGACACTAAAGTCAAGGTATCTAATTCATCAAATGAATTACACACAATTTATGCAGCACATTTGAGATGGATACGTACTTCCACCATCTCATTTTATGAGCTAAACTTTCTTTTGTAGTTTGTACCATAACAATGTTACCTTTACTTGAATAAAGGTAACTATCATTATGATTTTCCTAGTTTACACTCCAATTTTGAAACACTCAGATAAAATGCTTATTGATAACTCCGTCTTTTCTGCACTTCTTTAGTATCTTAGGGAACAAATTCTAGCCACACAATAGTAACGAACAAATTCCAAGCACAATAGCACATAGAAAGGGAACTATTGTACCAATCATGGCAACATGAAAATCATGGAAGATCTTGGCATCCATGCTATGAAGTGAAGAAGCACGAGGCACATAGAGGATCTAGTGCCTTGAGGCGGAAGGCGCGTTTGTGGCACGCGTCTCAAGAACATGAGATGCAATGATGGAACAAAAACATAAGCATATTCCATATTACTAATATAAACTATAGACGTAGAAAACACAACTCACATTAAAAATGAAGTCTAAAGTACTAAAGATATTATAGAAGTCATGGTTTAAACTTTAAAGAACATACAATTAGCAAATTTCTTAGCAAATCTAGCTTGTTCTCTTCATGCTAATATAAAAAATTTACAGAAATAATGAGTATATATAATGCATAGAAAGGAGAGAGAAACATACTACAACAAAAAACTAAGCAAAATAAAATATGACTGCTGAATTTTATAGTAAAACTACCGGAAAGGGACCAAAAAGAAGAGAGAGAGAGAGAGTACAAAAAAATAACAAATAAGAGAGAAAGAAAGGGAAGAACAATACGAATAAGAAGAGTAGGAATAACTGAAGAAGATGATGAGTAAAACCCTAAAATGGTTGTTTAAGGTTATTAATAAAGAAAAGAGTGTCCCTGAGCCTCAGCTGCACTTCACTATGTGAGCACAAGGCACTAATGTATGCGCCTTGCAATCATCACCCACCTTAACCCTATTGGTGTGACTATCCTTGCGCCTTGATGTTGTCACAATTTCATCTGAGCCGTTTAGGCTTCCTAGCAGTGGATCAACTTCACCTAGGTCCCGCAATTAGCTTCACAATTTCCTTCTCTCTACCCCAAAATGAACTTCACGCTATTTCCTTTAAGGAAAGGAATGTGAGGCTTACGACATTTTTTCTCTTCTAAACAAATTCCAACCACAAACTTTTCACTTTTCAAGACTATCTTTGAACTGCATGATGTAAAAGTGTGAAGTTTTTTGCATGACGGAGGAAGTGCATTTTCGTAGGTAGTGTTTATTGTTTAGACACGTTGCCTAAGTCTATTAAAATAGATTATTGATTACTTACAATAGTAATGAACAGTATTTGGTTCCATATTAGTCTAAGACAGTGCTAAAATAACCATAACGAGAAATAAGTAAAAAATGATCCTTTTTATTACACCGTGTGGGTAAACTGTTATAACTTACTGATTTTATCAATTGCAGCCGCAAGCTTTTGTAGTTCCTCTGGGCATATATCTGGGCAGTGAGTGAATCCAAAATATAACATACTCCATCTCCCCAAAAAATCCTTCTCAGTAACAGGCTTCCCATTATGGTCAATGAGACTAAATGGGCCACCAATAGCTGCTTTTCCAACAGATGGTCCTTGTTTCATAGCATTTGAAGCACTACTAATCCCTGCAATGAATCCAGGATATTATGTCTGATTCACTAATGCATCAACCATAAACATGCCACAGTGCAGGATGACGCATGCTTGACAGAACAAAAGAAAGTAATGGATTGTAAGCATGTTTGTGTTACCGTGTAGATAGCTAAAAAAAATAGTCTTCTTACTGACCAGGATTAAAAATGATTTATGTTTTGGGGGTCTATCTAGAGAATATTGTGGGAGTTGATAAACTAGAAACAAGTTGGCCTAAACAAGCAGAAAACCAATTTACATGGAATTATGACAGATCCCCAGGTTAGAACCCAAACTCCAGTTCGCCTAAATCCTGTTGCACATGTCAAATGGCCACTTCAGGGGCATTGACATATGATGTGTGGTAACAAAAATGTGTGAAGTGTGAACATTAATTTGAAGATTTATTCTACATCAGTTTTTATACAATTGAGAAAAAAAACCTTTGGCCCTATTCACAAAACGTGCATAGACAAGTCAATATGACCAATACTGCAGGGGAACCCCATCCACGTCACAAAGTTAGGACCAGCAATGCCACATCTCACCATAGTAATCTACCTTCAATATGCCGCTTCTTTTCCCTGTCATAGTAGTAAACCAATCCTGCTCCAGTTCCCAGTAGCAGCAAAAAGCTCATCCATGAAACTGGCTGCAACAACAACATACTAAATTACCCTATAATTGGGGTATAAAAAAGGTAGAAGTACGCAAACCTTACCCCCTACCTAGGAAATATAGAGATGTTCTCAAGAGTCCTTAGGTTTGTAATTCCGTCATCAGTTTCATTTTTTAAACCAAAATAAAAATATGTATATAAGGTAAGCAATAACTAAAAAGAAACTAAACAAAAAATAGTTAGGGAATAATAATATTAGAAACAAAAATCAATAACAGTACATGGTAATGGTAATAATACTATTAGTCTATAACACAAAAAAAAGGATAGATATGAAATTCGTTTTAAAGTTATAGGCATTCTTTAGAGATCATTTCATCAAAATATCGAAATCAAACAGAAAATGCAACGCTACTTTCCTTTCATGAATCTTATTTATAAGGAATAAATTTCCACCGACTAAACAAACAATTTTATAGAATCAATATAACATAACTAAACAATACATTTCTTTTATCTCACTCAGATGTATGGTGAGATGTATGCATGCCTTAAAGGTTGTTACAGCAAAAAAAATGTTTCAAGAACAAATTTAAGAAGTAGCAGAGAGTAATATTAAAAAATGTTTGCTTGTTTTGAAAATATCGTTTATCTTGGGAGTTGGGGCTAAATTTGTGAAATGTAGCAAGGTGGGGGCAATAAAGGCAAGCAATGAAACTAGCATAACACAGCTTCAAAAGGACAGAACAGTAATATTAGAATAAGTAATACACAATTATTGTAAGCATGAACTCCCCAAGAAAAGTGCATTCGGCTAAACTTGGTACTCGATTATTTCCTGAACTACAAAGTACAAAGAGCAGAACAAAACAAAAACTATTAAAATCCACTCATCTAAAATCTAAAATAAAGAATGGATTGCTCCTTTCTTTAGCTAGTCGTAATATACTAATGATTTCAAGAACTCTCTCGCCAACACCAACCATTGAGGTGTTAGTGAGTGGTTTTGAGGATTGATCCTCAGACCCTGTCTAGGATAGAAGCAGTTTGGATTCTATGGTCTAAAAATTCACTTTTCCAAAAAGCTAACACACTTCCAAACAATCTCATTATACATTTAGACATAGGCATAAGCGTTTAGTAAAAGAGGGAATGAATGAGAAGAATTACACTCCCTCGAACAGGCTTTCCGTGCTCGGCAGCCTTCTGCAAACCATCAGAACTTTCGCCTTTCCCAGAACTATCCCCGGAGGATCCACTATTGGATTGGTTAGATGAAGAAACAGCGGTGCATAGCATCCTAAGCCTGCAAAAATTGTGACTAAGCCCCACTCCTGACTGACCTAAACGACCGTCCTGAAACTATTAAAAAACACATATTCATTAAAATATTTGTATGAAATACGAGAAATATTACGAGCAGATTTGAACCTACAAAAAATGATGGTAAGATTTAGAATAGAGAACCAAATATGACAGTGGGAGGAGTGCCTGGACACGGCGAGGAGCATCGTGAAAGAGACGAGATTGGTTGCTGGTTGCCCGACAATTGTTCAAAGAATATGAAGTAAAAGAAATGAAGGGACATAGGTTGCGAAGACGAGAACTGTTTCTGGCAATTGAAGTTGTCATTGGTTGTGGGATGGTGATTAGCCGCTTGCTTGTGACTTCTGAGTACCTTCTTTCAGCTGCAAGAGGATGATGATATTATAAACCCTACCTGATTTCCAGTTTGTGCCTAGAAATTAATTTCCACATTTGTGGTGCGGCTGGGTTCAGTTGGCTGAGGTAATTGTCTTCATAAACTTATCATTCTTACCCCTCCTAAGTAGTGCCGTAATCCCACGTTTAGTCCTAACTCCAACTCATTGGCAACCCTCGGCCTATGTTAATTAGGCCTCGCAATGATTTTAACTTTTAAAGTTTTGACCTCAAAGTCAACTAAAATTGCGGGGTGTAATTGACGTAGGTGGGAGGATGAGTTGGGGTCGGGACTGGACATGGGAGTTTACAGGGGGTTAGGATGTGTAGAAATTATCAATTTTACGAACGGAGCATCGTAGGTTTCTGAATCGGAACAGGTGGCTTCCGTAGCCACTGAAACTCAATGGCCACGGAACCGGACCATTTGTCGTATGCAGGGGCAGACCCAGAATATTTGAACTATGGGGTCGGATTTTAGAAAGTTCATATCAAACAATCTCATTTATTACATTAAATAAAAAATACTTCATAATATATGACATTGAAGTTGACATTTTTCACAAAAATCACAAATTAAAAATAGTCTTTCATTACAAATATAAAAATACATTTACAATTGATAAAGTCTATTTTTCATATATTGAAAGTGATTTATTATAATACTTTTGCCTCCCATATTGAAATTCAAATAATCAAAAAACTATAAATTTGTAACAAAATCCAAACATCTTAACATATTCCCAATCTTACAAAATATAAATCTAATTCACAAATTACAAATTGAAATGAATATATTTAAAAATTAATAATTCACAAATATGAAATCTAAATATCCAATTCACATTCATTTATGTTTTAAGAAAAACTACCTCTTGAGGAGTGAAGAACAAAAAACACAAAAAATAAGCCAATGTTGCTTGGGCCAAGCAATTTCAAACACAGGACCTCGCGGATACATAAGAGCGATATGTCCACTAGTGCTGCTCGTCCAACGCTTATAATGATGCTGTTTTACGAATATATAGTAAAACTAAGTATATATACCTATAGGTATATATAAAATTACAAAATTTCTGTGGGGTCGCGTGACCCCGTATGACTCAACATGGGTCTGCCTCTAGTCGTATGATACATTAGGTTTCCAGTTTTGTTTTAGATTTTTTGAAAGCCCATGTCGGGGCTAGGAAGATAACAGAACAAGTACAATCTTAGGCTCTGCTCCGGGCTACATCTGTGATTGCCCCGATGTGATGGCACTTGCTAGACTTAATAGAGCATGTAAGAGCATGTCGCTTCTTTATCTCGAACCTATTTTTCTGTTTTTTATTCTTTTGACTCCCATTCCGCTGGTGTAGGCCCATACAACCGTCTTTAAGCTGGCAGAAGAATATTTGGGTGCCTCGTATTGACACTCTCAGGCCCTAATCTACTTAGGGGAAAAGGAAGGGATCATCAGGGTCGTGAGGGAGCAACTACATGAAGCGCATGCCCAACTATTTGCAGCCTAGGAGCACGCCAATAGTCAGCCCCTCTAGAAGGAAAATTACTGCATCTACAAGTTAAACGAAAAGTTGACCCAAGACTGGGAATTCTGGAAGGCTGAAAGTGAGAGCATAGAAAGGAGTTTCAGCGACTACAGGGGTGTGTTGAGTCCTCTCGGGTTCATGACATAGAGCAGGTGCTGAAGGCCAAAGAGTCCCAGGGGGAAACCCTGGAGAAGCAAATTGCTGCCTTTAGGGAGCAAACGAAGGACTTAGAGCTTGAACTCCAGAAATTCAACTCTACCATCGCCGGACTAGAATCAGAGAAGGCCGCCCTTCAAAAGGCCCTGGATGAGAAGGAATCTTGTCTCCGGGAATCTGCGCAGCTTGCCGAAAATCAAGTAGCAACCATCCAAGAATAGGGCGCACACATCTTCAAGCTGGGGGTGGAGCTCCATGAAGCCCGGTGGGAAAGTGCCTTTGAAAACGAGTCCAAACTCTTCCAAATTGAACATATATAGACTACTTGTCCTTGACCGACTGTCAGTGGCAAAGTCTAGATGAATGAACTCCGGGCACGAGTGGCTACCCTGGAAGGGGATCTAAGCTCCGTCCCCTTTCTCCAGGAGAATGTTAGCGCACTGGAAAAGGAGGGAGCTGAACAGCAATCATAAATTGCTGAGTTAACTGCCCGAGCTAGCACTTGTTATGCGAAAGGCATGTATGACATGCAGACTTGCATCTACGGGCAAATCGAAGAAAATCTATCTCTTCATACCAGCATGGAGTCTTTCATAGAACATTATGGGCTCCCCGTAAGACTTTTGCCTTCGGATTCTGCTAGTGATTGATTCCTCATTGTCCTTCACTATATCTTTTCTCGTTACTGCATGTTTTTTCCTTTATCATGGATCCCCGAGAATTATGACATTGATTTTCCTTTTGTATTGTTACGTACTAATTATGTTATTTGCTGACCTCTTCTTTGCTATACTTCTCGTACACTTGTGCACACAACCATACTTTAACTAATTGCTCTTGTACCTTTACGTAAACCGGCCTGCTACCGTTTCCCCAACCCATTTGAATTTCGACCCACTTTGGACAGACAAAATCCTAGTCAACCTTGGGACCAACCAACCATTTTCGCTCGCCAATCGTTGCTTTTTTTATAACTTTCCCCGCCTTTCGCGTCATCCCAACACCAAATCCCCAACTATATAAAAGGTCCATCATCCTTCAAGTTTCGACATCCCTTTCTCATTATTATCCACTCTTCCATCATGGTTGAGTGTGTGAAAACACAAGTTTTCATCAATCTGAGTATCTCTGACCCTTCATCTTCTAAGCCTTCTTCTTCTGAGCCCTCTTCTTCCGCTCCCTCTGTCACTTCCAATGACAGAGCGGGATTGAGCTTTTTGAAGTTTGCCAGACGTCATCCTCAACCCCAACATACCCTAGCTCTTTCGCGCCCCAGCCCCCCAAAGCTTCCTTCAGGGAGATAGGTTGGGACTCCATGATACTACAGGAGTTTTCCCAATATCAAAGGATGCGCCGGATCAAGGTGGAGGTGGCTCGCCTCACTACAGAAGCGGAAAGTTCTCGTGGAAGCCGTTCTGGTTTACCTCAGACTCCGCAAGAGCCATATGCCCATGTCCCAATAGTTTCGCGACCAAACTCGTGGCCAGAGGCATAAGAGGACTATGACATGGGTGGGCGACTGGGCGAACAACCCCCCCATACGATGCCGGAGGGAGAACATGGAGGACGTAGGGAGTATTTTATATTCTAGTCCTACAAAGATAGATTTTTATTTCACGTATTATCGATTTCGAGTCTTATCAATCTCGGATATAATCGGTTTCAACTATTATCGGTTTGAGATTTAGACTATATTCCTTTTAAGTTGGAAAAATTAACCTCTAATTTCTTCCAACTCCTTTTCCTTCCAACTCCTTCCAGTTTTTTCCAATAATGACTTAAAAATGTATTTATATATGATTAATATAAAATAACATTATATATCCAAATTTATAGCATATCACCTCACATACAACAAAGATGAATTTTTTAATCCCAAATTAGAGGTTTCCAATATATTTATTTGGGTGAACATTTAATTGATTGAATTTTTAACACTTTAATTCTTTCAACATTTTCCAACTCCTTCTAATATTTTCCAACTTTCGTTTTCTTCCAACCCCTTCTAGTTTTCTTCCAACATTCGACTCTAAAATTTCAACCCAAACAAACAGGACCTTAATCAGCCGGATCTGACCACTTTCGAATTTAAATCGGGTACGGATATATATATAGTTCGGTTTGGTTTGAATGATTTTGGATATTTAGTTATTGAACAGATCTTCACTTTTGGTGTGAGATCATTCACGTCGAGTAATCGATTACGGGTCTGCATTGGTATATAAGTTTTTTGGTTAGAAAACACCAAATCTGGTGTTACGATTTTGTTTTGACATGTACTCGCCCCATACCACAAAACCTTTTTGTTTTGACTTTTTTTAAGAGTGACACTCTTTGACCAAGAATTAAACATAATTTAAATAAACAAATGCTATAAAAATTTGATTCATGAAAATCATATCATAAGACGAAACCAACTACATTGAACTTTTACTATAACTAGTATTTTAACCCGTGCCATGTACGGGTGAAATAAAATTATTTTTTATCTTATGAAAAATATTACTCTTCTTCAATGCATTAACATGATTCAACTACCCCACCTCGCTTTATTGATTAAATAATAATAATTCTCCCCTATATAATTAAAAATATAAAATAGAATATAATTCTGATATACTATAGTCTTCCCATGTTTATTTACTACAATATTATTAAATGATAAAATAAAATATAATTCTATTACTATATATTCTTCTGTCTTACAAAAAGTTTCATATTTTCATTTTCACTTGTCATATGTGTGTCTCATAAATTCTGTATAAAATCTGATTTATTTTATTCAGATTGGTACCTCTTCCCGCTTTAGATAAGTTAAAATCATAAAAAATTATTAGGTTATTACTTCATTTACGTTAGAAACAATACAGTGTATCAAGTCCCAAGATATGTTTCTTAATCGTCTCATGCATACGCCATAATATTTTCCATGATATATAATTTTCAGCCCTTTAAAACCCCGTTTAAAAATTATGTTCATTTATCATGTTTTTCAAATTCTCTATCGATACTAAACTTATTATGATATGATATTCGAAACATTCTTATACATATTAAATCATACAAATGGGCCATTTTGGTGTTTTAATAAGAGAGAATTCCCTCGATAAGTGTAAAAAAGATGAAAATACCAAAATAGGGGTCCTAAGGCCCCCATCTATTCAACTTATTTTTTCTTATTTTTTCTTAGGCCCCGTTTGGTACATGGAATTCAAACTATGGAATTGGAATTGAGGACTTCAATTCCAAATCTAGTTTTTGGTAGCATAAAAATTATGTGGATTTGGAATTGATAATGCAAAAAATGAATTGGAATTGACAGAATTCAATTCTATGGAATTGAATCCCATGGAATTTCAATTCCAATTCAATTCCAATTCCGTATACCAAACGGACCATTATTCTCATTAAAATTAGATCAGATCGAATCTCATCAGACCAGATCAGATCAGATTCAATCAGATTAGATTAGTTCAGATTAGATCCAATCAGATCAGATTAAATCAAATCCAATCAGATCAGATCCCATCAAGAATTATTATTATTATTGTTGTTGTTGTTATTATTGTTATTATTCTTAAAAATGAAAAAGAATAAACTTTAGAAACAAGTTAAATAGAAAAATAAGAGAGTAATCCTTAACTATTAGACGTCGGAAAAATTATATTTAAAATACATTGGCAATGTCAATCTAATTCTAATTTTAAAATACATTTTTATTGCTACCTGTAATTTGAGTTTCTAAAATTTTGATCTTTTAATAAAAATACTATCTCTTCTATATATTGATTATCTAAATTTAATTACATTTAATGTATATATAAATTAAATAATTATTATAATGTATATATAAAGTAATTATTAAAATATTAAATTAACATTCTAATTTAACAAAAAAAGAATCATGAAATAAAAAATATTATTACATTATAATATGAATAATTATTCTAATATATTAATTAACTAATTTTATTTTATTAAAAAATAATCATAAAATGAAAAATATTGATTATATTATAATATGAATTATCATTACATTTTTCAAACGTTATTTTAAAGTCAAATCAAATTATTGATTTGAAGTTTAAATCAAACCATGGTTAATCAAATCAAATCAGATCAGATTCAATCAAATCAGATCCAATCAAATTAGACCAGATCAGATGAGATCCAATCAGATCAGATCAGAACTTTAAAAAATCAGATCAGATCAGAAAAAATAAGTTGAACGAAATGGAGCCTAAGTCTTTTAAGACCAAAATAGGAGTTTACACTGAAATTGTTACATTGTCACACTCACCACATTATAACATTGTAACTTTCACATTATCAGTGTCAAACTGTCATCCGTCGCTGTCGTTCTTAGAGCTTGCCATCATGCCATGTGTCATGTTCTTTATAATTTGTGGCCAATGACTAAAAAAGTCAAAAACAAAGAATTTTTAGGACAAGAGGCAGTATACATATTTGGGGTACTGTAGTTTTCGTTTTGAAATTCCTAACAACCAGTCAATCCTACTGGCTACTACAATCACCGCAAAAGTGCGGACGCGGTGGGAGGAGCTTAACAGAACCGCAACCGCCTCCACAATAATTGTTCTTTCATGTCCAATATACTCTAGGTATTCAGCTTGAAACGCTTAATCTTCAATTAGCCCTATGGTATTTTCGGAGATGTATGGATGTGTATTCAATTCAAGTTTATTCAGTTGTATCCAACTCTATATCCTTGTAGCCCTATTGAATTGAACTGCACAGATTTATCATGAGACCACTCCAGAAATTAAATGGTATCGAATGTGATGTAAAAGGTTTGTGAGGGTATGGGCGTGTATGTATGTGTATATGTAGGATCTTATAATCTTTTTTATGATCGGTATGATACAAACTTTATTTACTTACCCGATCCTACATAGAATCTCAAGTTTCACTACCTTGCAGAGGAGTTGTATAGTCTAGCATTAGTCCATCAACAGTCTTAGTTGAAATTAGGTCATTATAGTCGGAAGTCCTTAATGCTTGACATGAAATTTGGCTTCAGGGGTTCTCTCCGATAGGAAGATTTCTGCGAGAGGATGAAAGAGAAGTTCTATGAGTTAGTTGTCAGACTAGCTATGTTGTACGGGCGTAGGACACAGTGCCTCAGAAAGTTCACGTTCGTCGACTACACGTTGCAGAGATGTCGATGTTGCGGTGGATGTGTGGGCATACAAGGTTGGATAGGATTCAGAATGAGGTTATCTGGGGATATGTGAGAGTGGCACATGTTGAGGACAAGATGATGGAAAGCTAGGTTGCTGTGGTTTGGGCACGATGTGCGGAGATGTGAGCGACTTACGGTTGTGGGTGAGAGTGGGGGAAGGGGTAAACCTATGAAGAATTGGAGGGAAGTGATTATACATGACGTAAGATGTCTGGACCTTTTGAGTAGGGGTGTTCATTTATAGGTCTGAACCGGAAAAATCGACCGAACCGGACCGATCGGTCCAGACCGAACCCGAACCGAAAGGATTTCGGGTCGGTCTTCGATCCTAACTATTTTTAATTTCGGGTTTCGGTCCGGTCCGGCCCTTACCCGAATCCCAACCGGTCTAGACCGAAAAAGACCTATAACATCCTCAATCTAATTTTATTTCTCCCGTTCAAAATTAGGGGTGGGCGTGAAATTCGTTCCCGTTGGACCGTTCCGAAAAATCCCGGATCCGTTTTGTAATTGTACCGATATATTGGGACACATTTTTTATCCCGAACCCGTTCCATCCCAATATCAAATGGGACATGAGCGGGGCAACTTAAATTTATACCGATCCGTCCCGTTTGTCTTGTTTCATCTACTCTACTAATATATAATACTAATTCTAGTCCAAAACCAAATACACTCATTCTTAAATTAATTAGTTATTTAATTAAATTAACTTCATGAGCTTGGAATTTATTTGGTCCCGTTCCACTCATTGTTTTTTGTTGGATGACTAGATATTTCTTTTTTTTAAAATGAAATTTCACCCTCTTCCCCTTCTTATATTTGCGATTAGGGCAAAGTAGGACGACTCGAATCCGTCTCGTTTTATTCCGATCCCGAATTTTATGGGACAAATCGGGATAAGATTGTAATTCGAACCGTTTCGAACCGTTTATATATAACGGGACAAGACATGGGACAACCTAAAATCTGGACCGTCCCGATCTGTGCCCACCCCTGTTCAAAATACACCAGCCAAAAAGCCCAAGCTTATCCGACTATCCCTAAATCCCTAATTCTCACTTAACTCCATCTTGCTTTTTCCAGAGCCTGAGACTGAGAGGGATTCGCCGAGAGCCTACGCCGTTCGCAGACTCCCAGCCATCGCCAAGATCGGCGTCTCTCCTTCGGCGTCTCTCCTTCGGCGTCTCGCCTTCTACATCTCCCCTTCGCCGTCTCGCAGTCCCAACCATCTCCATCTGCGGCGTCTCACCTTCGCCGTCTCGCAGAGCCGACTCCCGAACCGAAAGAAATCAGGTACTGGTACTCATCTCTTCTCCCTCGTCTCCTTCTCTGTAATCCATAGTCTTCTTCTCTATTAGGTTATTTTCTTGTTAAATTATTTCCATGTTATTTGTAAGGCTTAGCCAAATTGTATTATTCTTAGTTTTTTTTTCCAAATAACATTTGAAACTTTTAAATTTGGCTAAGGTGGCTGATTGTCAATTGTTAAAAAAAACAGCAATATCAATTGTTTAAAAAAACAGCAATGTCAATTGTTAAAAAAAGACTTGAGAGTTCTCTGGATTAGTGATGAGTGATGTTGGTGAATGGTGAGTGGTAATTACTCTAAATGTCAATTGTTTAAAAAAATACAGCAATGACAATGGTTTTAAAAAACAGCAATGTAACTGTTAACAAATGTTTTGGTTGTATAAGATTTAAAAAATTCAACTGAAAAGAAAAAAAATTAGGTCTAATCGGTCTATTCCGGTTTGGTCTAAGAGGTTTCGGTCCGGACCGGTCCAAGACCGATTGAAAATCGGTCCGGTCTTTGGTCCTATATTTTTTCTATTTCGGTCTTCGGTCCGGTTCGGTCCGGTCTGGTCCTGGACCGATGAACACCCCTACTTTTGAGCATATGAGTATATGACCTTAGATAGGAGCTGGAGAACTAGGATTATGATAGTTGGCTAGGCTCTTGGGCCTGGTGGTAGTTCTGGTACTTGTCATCGTGTGCTTTCTTTGCTTTGTTCTTTTTGTTTCATTACTTCTTTCTTCCATTGTTCCTCTTTTCCCTTAACTTGTTGATGTGTTTCTATTTCTTGCAATGTGCTTCTTTTGTTGTGCTCTATGCTTTCTATGCTTTTATGAGCAGTTTGTGTTTTTCGAGCTAGGGGTCTCTTGGAAACAACCTATCTACTTTCAGCTGTTTCAAGTGGGGTAAGGTCTACGTACACACACGACCCTCCCCAAACCCTACTCTTGTGGGTTTGGGTTTCTGTTGTTGTTGTTGTGTGTGTAAATAGTATGCTGATGGCTTCTTATAGGTGGTAGAACCGTGGGTTCAGAAAATACAGCAGCATAATCAACTAGAATAGCAACCAAATCAAACAATACAGAAGAATCTTCCTTAGTGGTAGAGGACATATAATTCAAAGAAGCACCCTGATTCTTCTTAGGAAGTCCCTGCAATTTGTAAAGCTTTCCTCTACCCATAAAAATGAGAACATTTCCTTTAGTTGGACTGAATAGTGTTTACTGTTTATGGAAGCAAGCCATCTAATGCCCAAGTGCCCAACACCAGATCTGTCCCTACTAAAGGGAAACAAATCCTGGGTGACTTGTAAATCAGGTCGTTGCATAGTGTCGTCCTTAAAAGTTGGCTACAAGGTACCATACTACGTACCATCTTTGATTTGAACCCCAAAATTTTCCACATTAGTAGTAGCAAGTTAAGAGATCTTACCAGATGTTTGGAGATGGAGCTATGTGTAGACGTGCTGTAAATCAACAGCAGTACATTTGGAGCCTGAATCGCTGCCACTGGATTTTGGGAATTCAATTTTGGCTTAGGGTCGTAGGGAACTGTGTTTTTCTTCGGAAAAACACCATACTATCTTCTTAGTATGGTGTGCTTCTTTGTCATCTCTCCAATGCATGTTTTACTTTTTCACCTTTGGATTGGGTTGCATTTCTAGAGTTGTCGACCTGTCTTTCAAATAATCCAGCACATTGAGTTTGGCCACAATTCCGCCAAAGGGTTAACTGTATTGGGTGGAGGATCAGGGTGAGGAGTGGATGAACGTGTGTTCCTATTCTTAAAAGTTGGCTACAATGTACCATACTATCATCTTAGTTCCTATTCGGACAGTGAGGCCTTGAATAAGTCAATAACGGATTATTGTGGTTTATACACCCACAAACATAATAATATAAATCCAAATGCAGTTGAAAGCTTTTATAATTGATTATGCTTTAGTTTGTAACAAATACTAGAATGTAATTAACCAATAATTTTGTGAGTGTCAGCTATCCACTCTAAATAAAAGCTCATGCACAACATATTACCAACTTCGAGCTTGAAAGCTAACATAATAAGAGGATTATTTAAGTCTAATTGAAAAAACTTGGCAACCCTGCTTGATTAAATACCCATTAATAAAATTCAATTTCAATTCAGAGTTTTTGATAATTACAGAGTAACTCTTTATGTTGAAGCAGAAGATTTAATGCTAAATTGAATCAAAATCGTACAGGTGGTGCAAATGTATTCTTCAAAGTAAAATCATTTGCAACTTTTCTTTGTAAAATTAAAATAAAGGGAAGCTGCTAATAGGCAATATGCACGTACAACCGACTCTACAATATTTTTCGTGCATCCCCGGCAAATACTTATCTACGAGTAATGAAATACTCATTTCACATATTTTTTCTATTTTAGTTGTACATCCATGTTTATTTAGTTGAATTGAGTATTGTGTTACTTGTAAATATACATCCTGTATAAATGTAATGAGCATTATGTTGTTCTCAAATGAGCATAGATATATTAGGCTTCCATCATCTCTAATGGAGCCTAAGATTCACTATTTTTTTTTGGCTTTGGGGTATGATAGAATAAAGCAAAATAGCTCTTTAAACTATGTGCACTTCTTTTAATAGTGAAGTAGTTGTTTGTCAATGCAACTTTCGAGGCTTATCACGGGTCATCCGTAAACAGCCGCTCTATGTTTTAGACCCTCTTACCCCGCAATGGGCGGGATCCTGTGAGGCACTTGAGTAATGTTGTTGCTGCTTTGAATAAATACTAAAATAACTAAACCAGTGAAATGAGGATTATGTTACTTGGAAACGAGTATTTGCGTGGATGCACCGGACGTATGGTATATGCACTCCTGCTAATACACCTGTGTTTGATTATAATAACTTAATTTTATTAACTTAAAAGAGGAGTAAAATCTAGTTGAAAAAATTTAGCAGTCCTAATTAATTATACACCCAGACACCCATGAATACAAATAAGATTCCAATTGAAAGCTTTTTTTAAAAATTTCTCTGGACTGAAGAAACAGATATGATGTTGATTTGAACCAATAATCTTTCAAGTGCACATATCTACCATGAATAGTAAGATCATTAGCAGCTTATTAGATGCTTCTCAGTTTTAGAGCAAACACAATAAAAGGCTTCAAATATTATTGAAAAAAACATGGCAATCCGTACTTGCTAATATACCCATGAATCTATTATTTAGATTGAAGCAACAGATATGATCTGAATTGAACCAAAATTGTTGTAACACAGAAATTATCTAACACTTTTTATGTCAATATCATATGATTTTCAGCCTTGAACACGCTTGATAAACACTAATAAAGTAGTACGAGTAATAAAATCGCTTACTGTTTAGCATAGTTTGTAAGGCGTCGCCTAGGCTATGCTGTCACTGGGATGCCTTGTCTGCTCGCCTCGCCAAGAAAACCTTAAGGCGACCAGGCGCTCGCCTAGGCGTCGCCTTACCTCGCTTTGATGCCTTGGGCCCCTTTAAAATTTTGAAAAAACCCATTTTTTAGTGCAGCCCATTTTCTTTTAGTGTAGCCTAATAGACTTAAATTATCTTCTCTCTCTCTCTCTCTCTCTCTCTCGGTCTTCTCTGTCTCGATCAAGCTTCCTTAAAATGGATAAGACCTACACACACACACATATGTAGGTATGTATGTCGCCTAGTCGTCGCCTAGGCGTGCGCCTAGTCACCTAGGCAATATGAAGGTACATTGGCGCCTTGCCGCCTTACAAACTATGCTGTTTAGGTTTTGAGATTACTTGCTTTGGTTAGATATTTTGTAGTTATGTAACTTTATTGACTTTGAAACATGTAAATTAAAATTTAAGATAAAAAAGGCTAAGTTAACTTAAACCGAAAGACTTGAAAGTGACTTTAAAATGAAATACTTGAACTTATGATTGTGTATTTGCACATCTTTAAAATTAATTTTGAGGCAAACTTAAGATTTAACTTCAAACTTCACTTTAATGTGAAGTTACTTGAATTATTAACAAGAACTTGAAATAAAGCTAACCTGGTCGTTTGTGCTAGGATTTAGCTGTCGTTGATGTTGGAGACTCCCTCTGTTCTTTGTTGTGAAGGTTCCTTTACTCTCCGTTTCTCATCCCGGAAATTAAAAATTTGAAACTCTTGTACGATTCCGTTTATTACCTGGATATGGTTCTAGACGTGGGAGGGGACCACTAGTAGAAGGGGGGATGTAGGGCACATGAGAAATGGAGAAGTTGGAGGAGATAGAACACAAAGCTGCAAAAGTGAAAGGAAAAAACGAAAAAGAAAAGTATACGTGTAAGGCACGTGAACTGTCATTTTGCTGAAACTGCTCTTTTGATATAACTAGCGATTGGGAGACTTTTGTGAATTGAGAGACTAGTGCTACATTTGCATTATAATATTAGATGTATTTATGTTTCCATTTAAGGTTTCTTCTAAAGTTTATGAGAATTAAACGGACATGTCTGTCGTGTCTAAGTTTTTTTAACATTAGCTGTATACTATTGGGATTGTGAGAAGGTAGAAGACTAGTATTAGGACTTATGTATTTATATTTTCATTTAATTTCTGGTTTATAATTTTTTTTTATGAATAAGGGAGCAGTAAATTGAAGTTCATTTGTTATTTTGTTCACAGATATTGTTTTTACGTTTGTGACTAGCTTATCAATAAAGCATATGAATTTCAAGTATGAGAGCTCCTTCAAGACTTTTTAAGGTTATACTTCATTGCAAGGTGACTAGGGCAACTGCTGTTGATTATAACTTGATTTGTGGCCAAAGTTTTGCAAGTCAATCTTCCATTGCGAGTAAGAAAACAAATCCGTACAGAGTAAGCCATTTTCTTGTAAACAAATTCAATGGAAATAGTCAGTTAATTGGAACAAAAGCCTCTTCATGTGAGGAATATATCACAGATGAGGTACTGAATCAAGTTCTAGCCACCACCGAGGATCCAGAGGCCTGTAAAAAAATATCTTCCGATCATCTCCATAAGATGTGCAAAGTAGGAAATATTCGTGGTGCTGCTACATTGCTGCAACTACTGCGTGATAAGAAAATCTTCCTTTGGCCTTCTTCGTATAATCTCGTTCTGGCAGCAGCTTCTGAGAAAGCTGACTTTGACCTTTCAGCCCAAGTTTTCAAAGATTTATTGGCATCATGTAGAATTCTATGTGCTACTAGCTATACGAATCTAGCCCGATCATTTGCAAAGGAAACTGATTGTATTCAGCTGATGAGGTTTGTCAAAGAAGCCTCGGAGATAGCCTACCCAAGTGGCACAACCGTTGTAAATAGAATCATATTGGCTTTTGGTGAATGTGGACAGATTAAAAATGCACTGTTGATATTTGATCAAATGAAGACACTACAATGTGCACCAGATGTCATCACATATAACACTGTTCTAGATATCTTGGGGAAATGTGGCCGAGTCGATGAAATGCATCACAAATTTGCCGCAATGAAGGAAGCTGGAATCTGTCCTGACTTTGTATCTTACAATACTTTGATAAATAGCTCCAGGAAGGTGGGGAACTTGGAGATGTGCTTAGTTTATCTCAAGGAAATGTGCGAGGGGGGTATCAAACCGGATTTGCTTACTTTTACGGCGATTATTGAGGCTTTTGGTCGATCGGGCAACATTGACGAAGCACTGAAACTTTTCGCTGAGATGAAACAGAGAAAGATCAAACCTTCAATGCAGACTTATCGGTCGATCATTAATAACTTGAAGAAGATGGGAAAGGAAGTGTTGGCAATGAAGTATGCAGAAGAGATGAATTCATCATCTCTTTCAAATCTTGCTGGTCCAGGAGATTTCAAACCGAAAGAAAGGCTGTCAAGAAACCAGAAATCAAGGCCTCTAGGGGGGAATTGCTAGTTGTAGCCTTGTACGTCTATTTAATTTGTGCAAAATTTGGTCGGGATCACTTGAGATGATGGGGATGCCATCTACTAATTACACAATCCCACCCCCCCTCCCACTTTTTTAATTTTGTCTAAATTGGTTTCATAATTTGTATGATGTGNACTATTTTTAAAACACAGTCGTTTGAAAATAAACAAATAAAAATGTTGTGCATCAAATTACTCATTAAAATCAATTTTCCTCACACACCCAAAGTTTTTAAGAAGCCAGTCAGAGAAGTCAAAAATCAGTCAAAAATTATTTTCCAAACGCATATAAAGTTTATAAGGGGTCCATTTCCTTGTTCTGGCCCAGAAAGAATTCCAGTGATTTTATAAGGTTCATTTCCTTGTTTTGACCCAGAAAGAATACCAGTGGGTATATTTTGACCCATAAAATTTAAATTGTAGATTTTAAATTGTTTTCATAGATTAGGAAATTCAAAACGTGGAATTGAAAGATTCAGAATTAGATTTTAATTCTAAATTAGATATTTTTTGTGTTACCAAACACTATAATTGAAATTAAAATTTTCAATTTTATTTCCATGACTTGAATCTCGTGTACCAAACGTTGCTAATAAGTTTATTCCCCCCTTTTCAACTCCAAACCTAAATAATATCTTACATAGCTTAAAAAGTTCTAAACACGCTTATAGTATCTACTACTCCTTCCGTCCCATAAAACCTTTCTCCTTTCTTTTTCCTTCCGTCCCATAAAACCTTTCTCCTTTCTTTTTCCATCCGTCCCATAAAACACTTCTAATTTCTATTAAAAAATTACTTTTACCCCTTACTTTTTCATACCCTACCGGCCTACCTATCACATCATACCTTTTTACTAATAATCTACCCATTAAATCATACTTTTACCCATCACATCAAAGGACATTTTTGAAAATTCAATACCAAAATACACTCCCTTAAATATCTTCAAAAAGCAAAACATCTCATGTTTCATGGGACGGAGGGAGGATATGACTACATCTAAATGCTTCTCAAAGATTCTTATTAAAGCAACGCGTGTCTCCAGCAACGAACTTATGACATATGGTCGATGACATGGAGAGCTTTCAAAGCTATCTGGTTTCCTTACTCCGTCCCAGAAAGAATGCCACAGTTACTATTCTGGTCTCTCGATAACTTTTGTTTGTTTACTCGTTTTGGTTGACCATTTGATAAAATAAAATATTCTTGTCGCATCTTGTTTTGTAGAACTTTTCATATACTTTTGAATGGTGTAATTTTTTCTTTTTATTAATCTACCAATTTGAAATTAAAGTAATTTTAAAAGAGATGATATTTTACACGTCGTTCGAAGTGTTGCAAATAAATTGGGACGGAGGGAGTATTTTTTTCTCATTTATTAATATTAATATAAGGGGTAGTATCTTATTATAGCAACACGTGCCTCCAACAACTTATGCCATGCTATTCCCTCCGTCCACCTAAGATGTTTTCAATTTGACTTTGTATAGTTTTTAAAGAGAGTTAAAAAAAGGTGAAAGTTTACCATAATACCCTTAATGAAAATGGGTGGAGTGTATTAAATGAGGTGGGTGAGGTGTAATAAATAAAGTAAGTGGGGGTAGTTGTGGTATTTTAATTGTTAAAAAATGAAATGAGAAGATCTATTGTGGACAAAGAAAAAGGGCTATTGTGAAGATTTATGGGGGACGGAGGGAGTATCTTGTTTCCTTTAAAAAATCATTTTTTTCCATTTATTTATATAAATAATTTAAGGGGTAGCATTTGGGTCTATTTTGGGGTGTTTAGAGAACATTTGCTTGGAGTTAAACATTGCTTTTAATCATACTCTATAAAAAGTAAAAATAGATATTTACGTGTTCGATTTATAAAAAGTATTATTCCCTCCATCTCCGCATATTCTGATATGTACATTATGATGGTCAATAACATGTGGCCAATAAGGCTTCTATGTCTAACATCTATAGCTTCGTAGTTTATCTAGGAAGTAAAACATGCCCTTGCAAACAATGGGGTAACGATAGTATCCCATGCGTACATGTTTGCAATTTATACCGCTCTACTAATTTCAATATGCACTTGATGTGTTTTTTAAAGGTTTAATCGCACATCTCTTATTTTGTATTCTCTCCGTTAAAAAATAATCTTCTCATTTGACTTTTGCTGGTTAAAATTTGTAAATTTTGATTTCGATACATAACAAAACTACATTGTGTTTCGAAATAAATGAAATATCAATAGTTTTTCTTTTAAAACTTAGGGGCTGTTTGTTTCAGCCTCTTAATGATTCAGATGTCTGAATGTTTCAGCACTTAATGGTTCAGACTGTTTGTTTCAGCCTCTTAATGGTTCAGATGTCTGAATGGTTAAGAGATTTGCCTGTGAATGGTTAAGTATTATACAGAGTCTGAATGGTTAAGACCTCTTATCTGAATTGATCAGACATTTGCCTCTGAATAATTAAGCAATATACTAGCTCTTAATGGTTCAGACCTCTTACTGGTTCAGCACTTAATGGTTCAAACCTCTTAATGGTTCAGCACTTACCTATTCAGAAGTTGCCAAACAGCCTCTTAGTTTTAAAGTACTTTGTGTTAATTTTTATAAAATAAATCCATGTACAAATATAGATATTAATCGTCAAAATGTTAGAATTGAAAATTGTAAAAAATCAAATTTTGTATTGCCATTTGCTCTTAGAGTTTGAATGCCCCAACCTTTATTTTTGATAGTTCGTACATTATAGGTCTGTTTAAATAGAGGGACATATTTTCTAGAAAATTTCCATTCTATTTTTCCTTAAAATTGAATGATGGAATTCGTTTAGGAAAGCTATTTACTTTAAAGAGAGGAAAATAATTTTCCATTTAAACACACCATATATGTATTCATTCCAAAAAAGAATTTGGTCTTTTTGATCCAATCAGGTTGGGTTCAATGCATTCTAAACCTGCTTATCCTAAAATTGAACACTTAGGTCCAGTTTTAAATCCTTTATTTTATTTTAAGATTAAATATGATTTTAGTCCTTGTAAAATGAGCAAATTGTGTTTTTGGTCCTTGTAAAAAAATTGTTAGCTCATCCTTACACAATTTTTTATTGAAATATTTGCACTAATTAAATAGCACTAAAACTTAAATCATTTTTCTAAATAGCACTTAAACTGTTTTATTTACTAAATAGTACATAATGATGTCCATATTGTCCAGTGATGATGAATATTTACTTGAATAATGACTGATACATAATGACTAAAAGTGCTACATTGGAAAGAAAAACACATGTAGTGCTATTTAGGGAAAATCATTATGTTTTAATGCTATTTAAGTAAATTCCTCTTTTTTATTTTGAAAACTGGTCCTTAGACATAGTTAACACTTTTAATTTGAGATAACACATTTATTTCGTACTAAACATTCTAGTCTTGCATTTCTAATACTTCTGACATAATTCTTATATTCTAAATTGTCTTCTTAATCATATTGCATCTCAAATTCCCAATTTTTTAGGGAATGTAGTATGGTAAAATTTGGAAATTGAGGATGTAATTCAATGAAGGACACAATGTATGACATTAGAATTGGATATGAAATAATTCAAAATAAAAAATTAAGATGTTGAGTACAAAATAAATATGTTGTGTCAACAAATTAGAAGTGCAAACTATGTTTAAAAATCATTTTCAAAATAAAAAATTATAAGGATGAACTAACAAATTTTTTTAGAAGGAAAAAAATAAAAAGAGAAAAATACAAAAGTAGAAGTAAAGGATTAAAAATATACAAAAATAAAAGTTCCATGTTTTTATTCCTGAAATATGAGTTAAAATGTGTTTATATTACCAATCATGACCATGTATATTACATAAAATACTCATGTACAGTATCACATTACCATAGTGCAAATTCTTATTTAGAGAATAAAAATATAAAATTTTTATTTTGATACTTTCTCTATATTTTAGTTCCATTTAATTGATTTCTTAAATAAAAATCACTTATTTTACAAGCACTTAACATATTTTATCCCTTTATTTTGTTTTTTGGTGTGATCCATTTCGATCCACCCCAACTGGATTGTGCGCCTAGCTACATTTGTATCAGTATAAAACTTCAAAATGTTTGTGTATAACTACAGTGTACTACGTATCACCTAGAATGGTCGATATTGGAATTATTTCACTAAATACGCTACCATCTTCGTGATTCTCGTTGTCCCCTGACGAACACACCATCCCCACCCTCAGAAGGATTATGTGTCCTTTTTAAAGCCCCATCTATACCTTACCTAACCCCCCACCCCACCCCACCCACCGTTCTTTTTGCCCTGGGGGCATTACCCTGTTCCTTCCTCCTTCCCGTTTCAACAATCCACAAATATCCAAGGAATATAGAACTGATTCATTTCCTCGTATCCTCCGAAGCTTCGCAATTAAGGGAGCCCCCCCATCTCCCCTCGCCGATTGATTCTTCACCCCGTGTTGGCGGTGTTTCCGTCCGGTGAACGACGAGAGCGTTGCCGACGCCGGCGATGACGGCTCCGGCGATGATTCAGAGCCTAATCTATTTCCTATCGGAGCACCCTTCGATCATCACCTTCCGTTGGAGCCACAGCCGATTGTGGGGCAGCACGTGGTCCTTCGTCTTCGCCGCGATCGCCGCGTACGTCGCTTCCTCCCTCCTCCTCCACCGCCTCCTCCTCCTCCTCTTCCGCAGCCGCCGCCCTCTCCCTCTCGGCCCCATCCCCGCCCTCCACTCCCTCTCCATGACCCTCATCTCCCTCACCATCTTCACCGGCATCCTCCTCTCCGCCGCCGCCGAGATCCGCGACACCAGGTGGTTCTGGCGCCGCTCCCGGACCACCCCGTTCCAGTGGCTCCTCTGTTTCCCAATGGGGACCCGGCCCTCGGGCCGGGTCTTCTTCTGGTCCTACGTCTTCTACCTCTCCCGATTCCTCCACACCCTGGGGACATTCTTCGCCATCCTCCGCCGCCGGAGGCTCTCCCCGTTCCAGCTCCTCAACCACTCGATCCCCATTTTCATGTCATTCCTCTGGCTGGAATTCTCCCAGTCCTTCCAAGTCCTCGCCATCCTCCTCACCACATCGATATATTCCGTCGTCTACGCCTACAGATTCTGGACGGCGATCGGGCTCCGGAGCGCGTGCTTCCCGTTCGTGGTGAACTGCCAGGTGGTGCTCCTGGGGTGCAACATCCTCTGCCACATCGGAGTCCTGCTGCTCCATTTCATCAAAGGCGGCTGCAACGGAATCGGAGCTTGGGTTTTCAATTCCGTCCTCAACGCCGCCATTCTCTTGCTCTTCCTGAATTTCTATCTCAAAATGCATCTTCCCCAGATCAGAAGAAACAATGGCTGCGTGGCTGTCAAAGACAAGGGTACTTGACCGTCTTTTCCTGGCTACTGTTACTCCATTTTACACTGTAAATTTGGCCTTGAGATGGGATTTGTCATTTGTGTATTTTCTTGGTCTTAAAATTAACTTTTCAAGTTGACTTCGTGCATTTAGAGCTAATGTCAATAATTTGGAACTAAGTGGTTTTATTTTAATTAATAGAGTATTGAAGTAGACTTGTCCAACTGCAAAGGAGATCGGCCAGGCCGGCCCGTCCACTCCGTTCTCAAAATAGAGTGGATACGAACCACACTAATTACACATATGGATAGATTATTAGTTTTTTAATGTACTCTCAATTGGGCATGTAATGTGTCATTAACTTGAAGCTACCATTATACTCCTTCTGTCCCATAAAACATTTCCTGTTTCAAAAAAGGCGCACTCTTAAAATGAGTAATTTTGGTGTTATTTTCTAATTTTGCCCTTACTTTATACTACCTCCGTTTCTCAAAAGAGTTCTTCTTTTGACTTTGGGAGAAAATAAGGAAGTGTTAAATTGTAGTTGACTTTCCAATTTTGCCCTTGATGTGATGGGTAAAAGTAAGATGTGATAGTTTAGTTGTTAGTCAAAAAGTATGATGTGATAGATAGGGTATGAAAAAGTAGGGGTAAAAGTGGTTTTTTAATAGAAAGGGGAAGTGTTTTAAGAAAAACAAAAAAAATGAAAGAGGAAGGGTTTTAAGAAACGGAGGGAGTAAAAGAGTAGGACGAGATGTGTAGAATAGATTAGTCATAATTAAAAAATAACATTAAAATTACTTATTTTAAAGGCGTGCCATTTTTGAAACAGGAAATGTTTTATGGGACGGAGGGAGTAGCTATACTAGATTTCTTACCTCCGTTTATGGTATTTTGTATAGAATTTTCGTAGGTAAACACTGAAATCAATACATGCAAATTTTGAAATAAATAATGAAAGAACTACACTACTGAAGAGATTAAAGGTTTTGAAAAATTTCTTTGTAAATGACATTTGTTATGGCATTCGAAATTGGTTCATCGTCCTTGCAACTTCATACCTTCAACACACAACGATTGGTTATTCGAGAGACAACAACATATAGTTGGTCATGACTAAAACCGACTTCTTTTGTAGTAATCCCACATGTTTTAATGATTGGTCATGACTTTTGTTAATTGTCATAGCGTAGGATGTCGTAATCGAGAACTGTTTCGTCCGAAATTTAAATGGAATACGTGTATTCAAAGGCGTGAGCAAAATTGGCAGAATCACTACCTCGTGCGTGACATTCTTGAAAGTTCGTGGGGGGCGCAACGGATAACACCAAACACAAGCTATGCAAACAAAACAATCAACTATGCTATACAGAAGACACTGCAGCATTGTCACAGCAACAGATGACTCACAGGGTGTTATAATACCTACTCTGTCACAAGCACACACGTAGAATATAAAATAAAAACATCAAGCAAGACACCAGAATTGTTCACGCAGTTCAGAGTAAATTCTCATACGTCTGCTAGGCCCACGTCCGTGTAATAGCCCTTCCACTAAATCACCGTAAGAATATCAATCACAACATAACCTTCTTATATATTGATTTGTCTACTTACGGATGTCTTGACGACAAACTCAGTTCGAGTCTATCTCCACGGCTTGTTACACCTTCTCAAAGATCTTCTTCAAGGACGTAGATTCTAGTACCCCTTCAAATAAAGATTCTCCTTGATCTACAAAAATATGCAGGCTGATCTGAAGCTCATAAATCGAGATTGAACCGTTGAAATTCGATCTCTACCGTTCAGATTGAAGCTCCACGAGTCCTTAGACTCCTAAAATTTCAGCATGATCAGACAAGATTTGGTACTCCAACGATCATTTTCTTCACCGGCAAGGCCATCGCCAATACTTGTTATCCATTTACCTAATTCTGCCATACATTCATAGCTACGACTGTCAAGAGCCATGTGTTGTAAATGATATTCTGAGTGAGACGTAACACGGTACAAAACTGCCAGATATATGAAGAATTAATTGCTGCATTAATGATATCTTGTCAGGTCCCTTTAGGTATGACTTGTAGTATCTGACGGAAATCTCCTCCAAAAACAATTGTTTTGCCTCCAAATGCAAGTTCAACGTTCTTTGGATCATGCACTGACATAATATCGCGCAAAGTTCTATATAGTTCTTCGAAGCAAAACTTATGAGTCACCCGTGCCTTGTCTCAAATAATAAATTTTGTTTGCAGCAGTAACTCCGCTTACGGTGTCCCATGTTTAATGTTGCAAGTGGAATTTTCATGAGGACTTATATGAACTAAAACCACACTCTGCTTATGGTGTCCCATGTTTAATTGAAATATTTGCATTAAATAGCACTAAAACATAATTAATTTTCCAATGTAAGACTTAAACTTTTTATTCCCTAAATAACACTTAATAATGTCTAGATGGAGAAATAATGTCCAGTGATGGTGAATATTTACTTCAATAATGACTAATGGATAATGACTAAAAACGCTATGCTGGGAAATAAAAATATATGATGCTATTCAGGGAAAGTCATTATGTTTTAGTGCTATTTAGGTAAATTCATCTTCTTAATTTTGTACAGCTTCAATTTCTCTACAGGGTGGATGTTTAAATCAAACAAGAAAGAATAATTAATTAATATGTTGTACTTTTACGCAATACAAATATGAAAGGATAATTGATTAGAACCCAATTATGGAATCATTGTAATGCATTTTATAACAATTGCGATGCTAAAAGATATAAAATTACAAATCTTTAAAGACTTCCTTATAGAACGCATTAGTTGTATAGCCCTTAGATTGATTGTCTTCATTAAAATCAAAATCTTGAATACATTACCAATTGTTACTCTGAAAATTACAACGCATAGTTTACCATGAAAATAAGCAGGCTTCCTTAAACATAGTCTGACTTTCTTGAAATGAACCATTCATTCCTTTTATGATTGTGAATACAAACAATTATTAAGTAAATAGATTTATTATTATTTTGGATAATAATAAAAAGTAAAATAAACAACACTTATAAATAAATATGTAGTAGTATAAATTGTTAATCAAAATAATAGAAATGGATTATGATGATTTTTACCATTTACGGAGTGATACATTTGAAACCTTCAACCATTTTTTTCCTTGTGGTAATAGATACTAATAAAAGCTAATTGCTATGACAGATCCAGCTTACCCATATAGAAATGTGGTCTGTAATCAAAAGATTAGAGAATGGTTAAGGCAATTCATTGACTTCCAGAAGCAAAATTCTTGATTGTCAACCTGCAAAAATCATGAAGAAGCCTAAACATTTACTGCCAAGTGTAAAATTAATATTATCATCTTCCATAAATTTCAGAGTCTAGTAAATGTGCCTTGAACAATGAAGGAATTTGCAATCAAATACAAACAAAGCATATAATGTCTCACCTCAAATACAAACATATTTTCCTTATACTTTGCTGCATAACAAGAAGTTTTCCAAAGTTAAATAGTGTAGAAATGTAGATATTGGAGGTCTATACATGCCAGAGTCGCATTGAAGAATTACCTCATATGAAGGTGTGGTAGAAAATATTCAAAATTTAATACATACATTTCTATACCAAGATTTAAAAACTTATACTCCATGCCTGGTTGTACAAACACACAATAAACTAAAAACTACAGAAACTAAATACCTCTCTATAACCTACTCACTATATATGAAATCCAACAACTTAGCTTGTTGTAAACTCTAGCACCATAGGGAAGGAAGAAGGAACTTCCAAAGGTAAATGCAAAGAAAAAAACTTAATAATACATTTTCGAATCTTGAAGGGTGCAAAAGAATAGCTCTGTTAGCTCCTGCTTAGCCAGTGCTATGTATCCAGTACGAAAAAGTATTCCAAAAATGCTTAGAAACAAATTTATTAAAAAATTGAGCCTTCCGAACAAACCACTGCAAGTTACTACATTTTGAACTAAGATTGCTCATGAGATTTTACAAAGTTTATAAAATTCAAAGCCTAATAATTAAACATGGGTCTTGTATAAAAGAAATTTGTAGTTTTAGCAGAAATATTGAAACTGAATCCCCAAAAGTTTTTTGTTGGTTTCATTGTGCCTCTTATTTTTAGCAAAAATTTTCCCATATCTTTGTAGTTTTATGTCTTCTTTGTTAATTTTTTTATAGAGATTTGTATATATATGAAATAAATTGTCTTATGGAGGCATATTTATGAGGCTACCATTATTTCATTTACCTTAATAATACCTCTCATTTACCAAAAAGTTCAAAACAAATAACACAACTAAAAACAAATAGGTAGAAAAAATCAACAGAGTTATTAAACATTTGGAAATAGCTTTTCTACTACAAAGTAGGGGTAAGTTCTATGGTCACACACCCTCCCTAGACCATACTTTTTGTGGAATTTTACCAAACCTCTTCGCCAAGTTAAAACTCCGGTTAGAGTATAATTGACTCCGAAGGAATGTAGGAAAAATTATATCTCATACACATTCCAAGCTTATGGACTAACAAGTGTGCATTCGACATTCCAAGCTATAGATGTAAAACTCATACACTTCTAGACTAGATAGCACATCAAAGACGAGTGAATTCAAATAAACCATGATGTGAAACCATTCAAGTATCACAAGTGTTTATGTGAGCCAGAATAATCAATGATCACGCAAAAAAGGAAAAAAAAGATAAATATTGTTCTGACCTACAGTCATTCTTAAAAATATATTTTTCCCACCCCACTGCAACCTAGGTCTAAGCAATCAGCTCCGGTATTATTCTATTTCTATACAAATTACAGATTGGAGCTATCAAGCCTACCATGTAATGAACCCATTCTTCTATACAAAAAATAATTACAGAGAAACTGATAATTTTAAGTGGTATAATACCTGAATTAAAGAAGGGGCAGAACAATTGTGAAGAGGAAGGATGCTGATATGAACATTTGAATCTGGCCGCACGATTGAGAATTGAAGACGTTGTTGAACGAAACATTCTGACCAAAGGATTGTGAATTGAGACACACGGTGAAGGACAGAGAGCTGAACGATCGATTTGAATTCACTTAGTCTGATGATCAAAATGACGAAAATTAGGTCGTATGATGCGTCGGTGATGAGGATATCCAATTCGGGTGTGCTAGAGGCTAGAGCTGAGATTTGCGATGATCAGTAGGTTAATTAATTTAGGCACTGGAATACAGTGAAAAAAGGATCCATTCTTTAGGCCGCAGATGAATTTAGTGTTGAAACACGGGCTTGTCACGTTTTCGTACTAAAGCCGTGTTCGTTTTTGTAACAGGTTTTGATAATGCCAAACCGCCGTGATCAAGTCGAACATTGAATATACAAGGCGAAGAACGAAGATAAGAGCAAGAGCTAAACGAAGACCAAGAACGAAGACCTTAGTCATAGTATTGAGTCGGTCTTTATTGTGATCAAGACCGACCCAATCTTTACACCTTGGCTCCTTAGGCTAAAATCTTTCATTACATTTCTTACATCATAAAAATGTTTTTCAAATTTGTTTAAGTCATTAAAAACACTTGGTGTTCGCCCAAACCAAAAACCAAGCCATCTAGTGTTCGGCTTTCAGAAACCAGCGTTCAGCTTTCGGTTATCGGCTTTGGTTTTTGGCATCCGAACCAACCAAGTGGTTTTCAGCATTTTATGATCTGCTTTCACTCTTTGGCATGTTTAAACGGTTCTACAACAAAAACACTTTGAAAACCATCTTTCGCTTTTAGTCGTTTGACAAAAACCACGCAAAACGGCGTAAACTTGGCTAGCCGTGGTTTTTACTCAAATGACGTGGTTTTTTAAAGTGACTCACTTGTTTTCTTAGCCAAATACATCAAATAAGTGCTTCAAACACTTGGTTTTTATTTTGNGTCCAACATTATCACAAGGCAGAATGCCCTTACCCAGCGATGGGAAGCTTTACCCATCGATGGGAACCCAGCGATGGGAAGGCTTAACCATCGATGGGAAGGCATGACCGTTGTAAGTCATTTAAGGTTGATTCTTTCCATGTTTGGAAGTCAACCTCCCACCCAGCGATGGGAAGCATGTACCCATCGATGGGTAGGTGACCGTTGGCTTCAAAACTGAAGGAAAATTGGCCTACCAGCGATGGGTAAGGTCCATACATCGCTGGGAAGCCAATATCCTGCATATCCCAAATCTTTCAATCCCATAAATCAAGCCAATCACCTCTTTAATGCATTGGTCCGTTGGAGCCTATTTTTGCACTATAAAAAGGGGTGTTTGGGTCTGCTTTTCTTACCAATTCACTTCACAACATTCATACTTTCATTGCATTCAAATATCATCATTTTCCATAGCTTTCTAGAGCCATTTTGTGTGAAGGTTGAGTTGTTCTTGAGCGTACTTAGTTTACTCATAATCTACTCTATAAGAGAGCCTCGTTCTTGAGTGTATTCGTGTTCTTAGACACTTTGAGAGAAAGTATTTCTCTCGGTAGATTCAAAGGAAGGGCTGTTTCCTTTGAAGGACTCGTTGAGGTTCGTGTAACTCAAACTCTCAAGTTGTAACAGTTTGTTAAGCACCCGCAAGCTTAACGAAATAGTAGTGTAGCTCGAGAGAGTCTCTCGGGAGGCTGGATTAGCCACAAGTTGTGGTGAACCAGGGTAAAATTCGGTGTGCCTCTTACTCTTCTCTTTACTTCTCTTTTAATTTTTTAATTCCTGCGATTTCTACGATCAAACGCTATTCACCCCCCCTCTAGCGTTGGTCTATTATTCTAGCAATTGGTATCGGAGCCTAACTCGCGTCCAAACTTAACCGTTTGAGAGTAAAGCGATCATGGGCTCTTCTTCTAGAAATCTTTATGCAAGAATTGGAGAAGGTCAATCAACCTCTAGGCCACCGCTTTTTGATGGCACCAACTACACATATTGGAAAGAGCGGATGAGAATTTATATCCGCTCAACCAACTTCCAGTTGTGGTTGGTCATCAAAAACGGCGAAGAAACGCCAATGAAGAAGGTCGATGAAAAACTCGTCCCAAAGACCGAAGACGAATTTGATGCCGAAGACATCAAAAAGGTGGAGAACTACGCCAAGGCAATCAACATGCTGTACTGTGCGGTCAATCCTGATGATTATCGCAAGATCTCTTGCTGCACCACTGCAAAAGAAATGTGGGACAAGCTGGAAGTCACATATGAGGGTACGGACCAAGTTCAGGAAGCCAAAATTGACTTCCTAACGCAGGAGTACGAGATGTTCAGGATGAAGGAAGGCAAAAAGATCGATGACATGTTCGATCGGTTCTCAAAGATCATCAACGACCTTCACGCTCTCAAGAAGACGTATGCCAACAAGGACCTTGTGAGGAAAATCCTGCGGAGTCTCACACCCGAATGGAGATCAAAGGCTGACGCAATCTACGAATCCATCGGAGTCTCCAATGTCACCATCGACGGGCTAAGAGGTAACCTCAAAACTTATGAATCTACTATTCTAAATCCGTCTTTGGATGAACAAAAGAAGAAGGGAATAGCACTCAAAGCAACCAAGGAGACCGTGGAAGAAGACTCAAGCGATGATGACAACGAGTTCGGACTCGTCATCAAGAAATTCCACAAATTTATGAAGAAGGAATTTGAGCGCAAAGGAAGAAAGCACGACGGTCCCCCGAAGTGTTATGGCTGTGGTGAGATAGGCCACATCAAGCTGAGGTGTCCAAAAGGAAAAAGCGGAAAGGACAAACCTGGCTTCAAAAAGCAACGCGCCTACATCTCATGGGGTGGCGACTCCGGGGATGAGTCAACGGATCAAGAAGAGGAAGAAGCCGCCAACCTCTGTCTCATGGCACACGAAGACCACGTCAACGAAGTACAAGAGGTATGTACCCCTTCTTCCGACTCTTACACTTTTGAAGAGATGCAAGAAGCTCTTCGA